AAAAAAAAGTGGATACAGGGCCCTGGGGCAATAGCATGGCAACTAAAGTCCTTACCTTGAACACGCTAAGATCCCTTATGGGCACTGGTTCTAATCCCGGCAGCCCCATTTGCCATCCAGCTCCCTGCCTGTAGCCTGGGAAAGCAGTGGAAGATGGCCCAAAGCTTTGGACCCTGCACATCTTAAAAAAAAAAAAAAAGTGGATACAAGACTTTATCTCAGTCACTCGGTGGTGATAGGGGCATCCCAGGCAGCAGATTAATATGGCGCATTCCAGTTTGTGTGCTTGTTTTTGTTCTTCTGTTGTAATGCTTGTTAGCAGTACAGAGACAAGAGTGTGTGTGTGTGCCTTTGAAGAGAAGCCTTGGAACTAATTTGAGCAGTGGCATCCTTTCCGTGCTCCCTTGGCCTATTTGTCATGAACTCAGACCCCTGGATCGTTTTGTTGCCTTTTGTTCTCTTGCTCTCATACAAGGATCCAGAAGATTCTTCTGGCTGATTCTTCCTGGACCTGGACTTCCAGCTTCCAAATGACTATTACTTTGTTCTCTAGCTCAGTGATGCCACCTGCTGGGATGTTGGATTGTCTTTGTTCACCTTTGCATTGAGGTGGAGTAAGCCATCACCTAGGTCTTCCTTTTCCTTGCTAGCTAGGAAGGAAGCCAGTTTTGTCTTTTTGTTTGTTTTTTCTCCAGTGTCAGAGGGGTGGAAGGACAGCGCTTGCTGCTGTCAAACTAAATCAGCGCGGGGGGTTGGGGATGGTCATTTGATGACACCTTCTTGACCCTGATTAGGGGAAGAATGTTCTGAGGGTGTCACTTGAGTGGTTTAGATGGTTCTGAGACGTTCTCAGCTTTGTTGCAGCAGGGTTGAGAAAATATTTGCAAGGTTTATTGGCTGACAAGTCTACTTCAGTATACCTACACACTCAGACACTTGCTGCAAAGCTTGGCCAGCAGGGTGACCAAACCTGTTCTGCTCTGCATCCTCTGACAAGGCGCTCCACGTCCTCTGCTGGTCTGGATGAACTGGCTAGCTGGGCATGCTGTCCACCTCCTGGGCATCAACGACTGAGGAGGCCCATTCCCAATACATGCACTGCAGGGTCCGACATGTATGTGGTGATTTTGCCACAATGGCTAAAGCTGAGGTAATCAGGAGCCAGGATCCTCCGCTGGGTCTCCAGTGTAGGTACAGGAGCCCAAGGCTTTGGGCCATCCTCCACTGACTTTCCAGGCCATAAGCAGGGAGCTGGATGGGAAATTGAGCAACCAGGACACAAACCAGTGCCCATATTGGATGCCTGCACTTACAAATAGAAGCTCAGCCAGCTGAGCCATCACACTGGCCCCCCAAGTCTCTCAAAGAACAAAATAAGTATGATACCAGACTATATATAGTGTTTTTAAGAAGAAGTAGACTCTCCCACCCACTGTCTCATTTTCTACGTGCCTAAAACCAGGAACTCAGTCACATGAACCATCATCACAGCTTCCTGCCAGGCTGATTAACAGAAAGCTAGTCATGAACTACAGCCAGGAATCCACGCCAGGTACTCGGCTAGGAGACCGGCATCTTCACCACCAGGCTCATGCCTCGCCCCCATTTGTAGTTTTCACATCTGTAAAATGAGAATAATTTATGGATTTCGAGTCTGTCGACATAGTATTATGAAAAAACAAGGAATGCAAAAGGCTTAATAAGTGATCATTTAGATCTAAAGCATTATCATTATTTTTCTTGTTTATCCAGGCTGAGCTAGACCTGGAAGAAAATTAGTGCCAAATTCTACATGTATTAATTTCCCAGGACCCTGTATCCCATAAGGAGCAGACACAGCAGGGCCTCTAATATCCTGTGATGGCCTTGAAAGGTCTTCCAGTTGGGAAGGTGCAATAGCACAAGCCAGAACATTGAGCATCAGCTCTCGGCCCCTCCCAGCCATGGTGCTTAGCATGACATTGTGGGTCTGGGAAGCTTTGTTTCCCACTCTCCATTGATTCGTCTGCTATAGATACTTGGACATACTGTTAGAACATCCTGGAAGTTCACTGAAATGAACAAAAAATACTCCTGGTCACCATTGAGTGCCCATACCAGATCGCCACTTAGGATTTACCTTATTTAATCCCCACAGCAATCTTTAAAATGGGTATTTAATATTTTCAATTGGCTGAAAAGAAAACAGGTTTAAAAAGTGAACCCCAAGTCACATAAGCAGTAAATGACAGAGCTGGAATTTTGTTTGTCTCATTCCAAAGTTATTATCCTGACCTCCATCCCTCAGATGGACACCCCATCACTGAACAGGAGGAGGGACCATATGCGCCATGAGGAAACTCTGGGGATTGTCTTTTTTTTTTAAGATTTATTTTTATTATTTTTTATTGGAAAGTCGGATATACAGAGAGGAGAGACAGAGAGGAAGATCTTCCGTCCGATGATTCACTCCCCAAGTGAGCACAACGGGCCGATGCTATGCCAATCCGAAGCCAGGAGCCTCTTCCTTAGGGTCTCCCACGTGGGTGCAGGGTCCCAAAGCCTTGGGCCGTCCTCGACTGCTTTCCCAGGCCACAGGCAGGGAGCTGTATGGGAAGCGGGGCAGCCAGGATTAGAACTGGCGCCCATATGGGATCCCGGGCGTGCAAGGCGAGGACCTTAACCACTGCACCACCGCGCCGGGCCCCTGGGGATTGTCTTTTACATTATCATATAGACAGAGATTGGCCTGTGTGATCTGGGCGTGTGGCTTTCGGATTGTCCAGGCCCCAGGTACTAACTCATTAAATCACCACAGTTGTATGACTAAGGTGTCTTTCTGTGTGGTGACATGACCTGCCCAAGATTACAGAAGAGTAGATGACAGAGCCTGGACTCAAGCCTAGTGTCTACGCCTTGCTTCAGGGTTCTCTGCACCATTTCTCAGAGTCAGCTGATAGAAGGAACAAGGGCAGGGGCCTTACTTCTTTCTGCTCTCTTCTCTTTTCCTCTCATACTTTCTCCCCCTTTCGGAAACTTTGAGGGAATGCAGATCTTTGAAATTTCAGAAAAATAGTTTATGCAGTACCTAAAAACTGCCTGGCCTGCCCCATAGAGGCTAGCTGAATCTGCCAACTTTCCTTTGTGTAGTTTGTACTGCTATTTTCAGCCTGGTGTGGCTGGTGTAGCTTTGGGAAAGTTCTCTCTGAGCTTTGTTCACTGAGGTATCTTTGAGGTATTGTAAATATTAGAGGCGATAAATATTCAGTGGTAGCAAGTGAAGAGGCTCATTACCTGAAAGTGGTTCTTTCTCCTGACAGCAGGCTCTAGTAGAAACTAGCCTGGCGTCAGGAGTCCTGAATCTCTGACTCTGTGTTCTGTGGCCTTGGATGTGTGAGGCATTGCCTCCAGGCTGACTAGGTCATCTCTGGGGACTGCTTTCAGCTTTTATTTCCTGCTTCTTACAAGCAGCAGTAACGGAGACTTGGTTTTGTTTAAGATCTATTCATTTGAAACGCAGAGAGGGAAGAAAAGAGAAAGATAGCTCTTCCATCTGCCAGTTCACTCCTCTAATGCCAACAAAATCTAGGGCTGGGGTATGCCCAAGCTGGGAGCCAGGAGTTGTATCCAGAACTCCCAGGTGAGTGGCAGGACCTGGCACCTCTCCCCAGGTGCATCAGTAGGAGAATGAATCAGAAGTATGGACTAGCCGGGACTTGAACCAGGTGCTCCCACATAGGATGAGGAGACCTTAACTTGTCACGCCACGAGCCCACTCATGTTTCCTTGTTTTAAATCGCTCTGGGTAGGATTATATGAAGTAAAAATCACACAAATATTATGTTAATAAGCAGTTCATTCCTGAGTTAACGCTTGTTATTAGTTTGATGTGCAAAGTAATATCTAGCATTTCCTATATTAAACATATGAAATTAAAAGATATTTATTTTTGGTGTAAAAATGTTAAATGCAGTTTCTTCATGATGGGCAATTTCATGAACTTTTTGAAGACCCCAGTGTGTGTGTGTGTGTGTGTGTATGCATGCGTGTGCTAACACACATACATATGAGGCCAGTGTTGATACAGTGGGTAAAGCTGCGGCCTACAATGCCAGTGTCTTATGGGTGCCAGTTTGTGTCCTGACTGCTTTACTTCTATTCCAAGTACCTGGGCCATGCTGGAGACCTGAGTGAAGCTCCTTGCTCCTGGCTTGAGCTTGTCTCAGGCCTGGTTGTTGTGGCCATCTGGAGAGTGAACCAGTGTACACAGGATCTGTTTCTTTTTCTTCTGTGCATATCCATTGGTTCACTCCTTAAGTGCTTGCAACAGCCAAGACTAATTGAGGCTAAAGCCAGCAGCCCAGAACTCAGTCCTGGTCTCCCTGCGGGTAACCGGGATCCCAGCACTTGAGCTATCACCACTGCCTTCCAGGGTGCTCATTAGCAAAAGTGTCAGTTGGGAGTGGAGCAGCAGAGATGTTAGCCCGGACACTGACAGGAAGTGCAGACATCCTAACTAGCAACTTAATCATTTTGCAAAGTGCCCACCCTGTCTTGTCAGTTCTTAAATTTTGACTTTATTGTTTATAATTTATATCTCATCATGTATCAAGTGGTTGCCTATTGATTGGTAGTAAAGTATGATTTTTTTTAAAAAAGATTTGTTTTTATTCTTATTGGAAAGTCAAATATACAGAGGAAGATCTTCTGTCCTGATTCACTTCCCAAGTGACAATAGTCAGAGCTGCACTGATCCAAAGCCAGGAGCTTGCAGCCTCTTCCTGGCCTCCCATGCAGGTGCAGGGTCCCATGGCCATCCTCGATTGCTTTCCCAGGCCACAAGCAGGGAGCTGGATGGGTAGTGGGGCTGCTGGGATTAGAACCAGTGCCCATATGGGATCCCTGCGCATGCAAGGCAAGGACTTTAGCCACTAGGCTACTGCACCAGGCCCATGAGTTATGACTGTTTTAAAAGCAGATGCACCCACATAATGTTGAATTTTTTATAATTTTATTTCCAGGAAAAGAAGAAAAAGAAACATAGAGACAGGAAATCCCCCGACTCTGACAGCTCAGACTCTGAGAGTGACTCGGGCAAGAAGGCCAGGCGCACGTCCAGCAAGGCAGCCAAGGGGAAGAAGAAGAAGAAGAAGCACAAGAAGAAGCACAAGGAGTGAGAGCAGGAAGCACAGGGGGCACTGGGGAGAGGGAACCAGGAGCCTGTACCATGGAGCTCCTGGACACTGACTGTGGCCTCCCCCCTCACCGACTTGCTCCCTCGGAGATGGTGTCCTCACGCAGCAGACAGCTTTGGGCGTTAGGATTCAAAAGCAGCTGCCTAAATGAGTTTCTTTCTGTATCACTTCGCAGTGACCCCTGCAGTCTATCCTTCATTACCCGACAGCCTTCATTCCAGGGAGGTCTTGTTACCTTCCCCAGCTGCCGTTGCCAGGCTGGACTCCTGTACAGGAGTCTAGACTAGATCCACAGATCCTTCTGTGGAAGTGAATCTGGCAATAGCTGGAAACAGTGATTGGCCCCTTCCTGTTGGCCTGTCTTGGCCAACTGGTGGATGGTCTCTGCTTCATCAAGCACTGGGCAGGATGGAGAAGCTGGTAAAGTGGTGCTCACGGTCTCCATTCCCCCAGCACTGTCCTCCTGTGCCAGCAGCGACAGTCGCACCAGTCAGAAACAGCCATTGTGAGTGAACTTGTGTATGACATTCCAACAGACCACCAAGTCAGACATGAAGCCAAGATCATTGCTCTGCTTTGTATTTGATACTGTGAGTCCATTGATTCTACTTCAGATCTATGCTTAAATTCCTGGCACCAAATGGAAGTATGTTTGGTTTTAGACTTACTGAAAGTTCTTATTCCCATAATCCTTCCTAGGTAGTTTACAGCCTCAATGTCATCGAGCCTGCACTGACAGGCAGACACTTGGAGAGGCCAGCTGAAGTTCAGAGCCAGAGGTTGTGGTAGGGAACTAGCCTGGGACATGGGCAAGAGCTCAGGAGTCATCTGGCTAGCGAGTGTTCTCTCCCATCCCCTGGCACGGTGTAGATCCTGTGTCCTAAACCTGCAGTGACAGGCCAGCAGCCATAGCGCTGCCTGCTCTAGGGCTCATTTGAAAGGGGCCAGTATAAAGCAAGGTGCAGGTCTGGCTCTTTTACTTCCTGCGCAAGATGATCCATTAACAACCAGTCTGAGACCATCCATTTCAGGCTCTGGTCTAAGGTGTCTCCCTTGGTGACCTTGAGGCAGCCCCACACAAAAGGAAACTGAGACGTCCAGGATCATGCCACCAAAGCAGCCATTCAACAGGGTGGCCTTAGTTCTGCTTTATTGACCTCAGAGCAACCTCAATGCAATTTTTAAAAAAACCCGTACACAATGAGAACTAAAACTGGGTCCAGGCTGATGCTACCCAACCCTGTAAAAATTCCCCCAACTAAGGCAGGTTTATACAAAACACAAGAGGAAAAAAACTGAGGCAATGTGGTGCTGAGTTGAGGGGTAGCTGGTTGGCAGAGGAGCAGTCGGTGCTGGCGTGGGCCCGTCACGCATCTTTCTCATAAGTGCGAGTGCTAACTGCACTGCCGTGGGTGAGCGTCTGGAAGGAAAGACAGAGTTAGTTGGGGGCTGGCAGAGCAAGGAAAGCTACTGTAATTACCACTTCAATACTATAATGTTTCAGATGCTTTAGGATTTTTTAGCTTTTAGAGAGGAAGTTATTTGATCAAGATCCTAGAGTGTTTATCTTTTCCCCTACATCATTCAGTTTTCTTTATACTTAGTGCCTACAACAGCGCAGGCACATAGTAAACAAATGGATGAGTAAAAATGGCCTAAGTGTCTTGGGAAAGGACTCTGCTAGGCTACCAGCTTTCCATTTCTTCCCTAACTTAGGGTGGTACCCAGGCAGAGACCCAAGCTTTCACTACCCCGACTGGAAGAGCCAAGGCCATGAACTCGCCCAGGGAGTGTTTGTCTTTCTCATCTCCACCAAAGATAGGCACCTCCTTCCTAACTCTGGGGTCCCCAGGTGCAGGTTTCACTTGGCAAGCTGCGTGGAGATGCCAGGCTGAGAAGCGGCTGCCCCACAGTTAAAGGCTGAGACCTAGGTGGCTGCTCCGCCTGCCCTGGGTTATAAGGGGAGTTTGAGCAAGGCTGTGTTTTCCAAGTGAAGTCCCTGTGTTTGTCCCTAAACAGATCTGTCAGCCTGGTTGTACTGTTAACTCCTCAGATAGTAGGCACTCGCAGGAGACCAGGCATAGAAAGCACTGAGAGAATATGGGACTGGCATGAGGAGGAAGAGAGGCTTGTTTTGTGAGACAAGGGCCCCACCAATCACCAGCCTGCCTGTGTAGTCCTCGAGAGAAGGCAGGAGGAAATACTCTTGATGGGAGCCTTCCCCAGGTGTCTCAGGACAAATCTAACCCTGTTATCTAACCCTGGGGAAAGACAGGTGGGGGTGAGACAGGGAGTACCTGCTGGGTTCCTCCTGCCTCAGTGCTTTGTGCTGTGCATGTGCGGTCTCAGTCCTACGGGCTGGTGCTACTGAGGCTAATTCTACAGTCGCACTTGGAGAAGGTGACCTGGGGTCACACAGCTTAGAGGGTTAGGGTTAGATGAACCCCAGACATGTAGGAGTCTAAAGCCACCACAGAAAACATTCCCCCCCATACTGTTCGTACCCTGCCCCTACCTTGTTTTGTCTGAGCCCATGTGGTACCCCAAAGGACCTTAGCCTTTTAAAGAGGCAGTAGTAACCAATTAGATGAGGACTAAGGTTGTTCATCTTACCAGAATGAGTTTCCCGTCACTTAGTTCCCGCACTAATGTTGTCTCCTGTCCATCCCACTTCTGCACATGGACAAGCTTGTCACCATCCAGTGTCACAATGGACTGTGGAGAGAAGGTAAAGTCAGCCAGGACCGAGCAACAGTCCTCAACAAGCTCAACCCAAACTAGTGAACATGTTGGAATTGGAAAGCAGGCAGCCCATCTGCATCCTGTCCTTCCAGTTCACCTGAGCCTCTGCTCCACTGCTGCTGGCTGGGGGAATGACTGAAAATGAGGGGGAAAAAGCAGTATGGAGCAGTAAAAGGAGCAGTACGATGGCGCTAGACAAGCTAGCCCTGAGAAGTGGAGAGAGGCTTCAAGATGGGTCCTATCTACTGGAGGTGATGCCAATAGCCCAGTTCCTTGCAGACAAGGGGACACATGCCAGTCCATATACCTGAGAAAGACTGGCAGGAGGAATAGTCCAGAATCTTTCTAGCGTTGTGGTTATCCACATAATGTCTAAAAGACCCCTGGTGATGGAAAGTGTTGGAAATTAACATTCTCCCCACATCATTCAATTTCCGTAGGTAAGATGGCAAAAAATACCTAGGGCCTAAGCCTGGATATCCTTGACATGGTCTTCATTCCTGGGTCAAATGCCCACATTATCCTCTGGGTGCTGCTGGCATGCGTCAGCTGGTTCTCATTTGGCAGCCCTCCCAGGTCTCTAGGAATCCGGGGGCTGTAGGCCAGACTGAGCAGGGCTCAGTAGGAGAATCGGCAAAGGCTGTGTGTGCTTGGGGATGCTTATCTCCATGTGCTTCTCCTGCTACCATTTTATTCCTTGTCATCTCAGTTTTTAGCCCACTTGGAGCAACTATTGTTGGGCTAGGCATCCCAGGTGACTCAGCCCTTGAGAAGGTGGGGGAACACGGTAGGACACTGCCTTTGTCAGGCAGGCTGCCATCTGCAGCCACCACACCTAGCTGTGCTGCCTGCCTCCTCTGTAACCCAGACTGGACTTCAGCTTCTCCACCTTCCCTGTCCTCTCCGGAGGCAGCTGTGAAGAGGGAGAGAGCTGAGGGGCTGGAAGGTCCATGCTAGAGAGTTCTGTTGTAGATTCGCCCTGTAGAATTCAGAACGCCCCAGTTCTTTCATGGCTGACCCCGTATTGGGAGCCTGAGGCAAGCTGCCAACAGAGTCCTGAATCTGAAGGTAGATGTCCCTTACCACCAGCCTGTGAAAGTAAGTGAGCAAAGACCCAGACCCACAAGGCAAATGCCTTTCACTGGCAGCACTGGAAATAGTGCATCAGAGTCTTCAGCCAAGCCCCAGAACTGAGGTTGCAGAAAGCACACATCTGAGGAGGTCTCAGCTTATTCCTGGCTGCCTCCTTTACTGTGGGAAGCCAGGATGACCTCACTCAGTGGAAGGCCCCGATTTCTCCTGGGCATTGTTCCTAAAGCACTTGAAGTCACAGCCATGGCCACATAACTCCCCCATCTATGGAAGAAGAAAGAAACCCAGAGGTACAAGGTCACCCAGCTGGAGTTGGGGTAGACATGGAGGTCAGACAAACATCTTGCTCTGCTGTCCTCTCCCAAGGGCAGCTCAGACACTTCCCAAAACAAGAGGACAGGACATGTTACTTAGCACCTGGAGCATTCTAGCATTGAACAGGCTTGTGAGCTTGGTTTCATTTAATTCTGCAAACCTGCACCTCAAGCCATGATGACAAGCAGTCTAGATTATACCAGCCTGTTTTCCTTTAGGGGCTCAGCACCCTCCATCCCCCAACCTCCTTCTCTGACTCACCTTGACCTTCCTGTCATCTGCTGTGGTCTCATCAAACTCCACCCCCAGCTTAAAGCTGATCTCTGTGTTCTTGAAGGTGCTCTGTGTTTTTAGGACAATAGTGTCGCCTTTCTTCTCGATGATTGTGGTGGGCTTGGTCATATTGGCCACTTGCCTGGTAGCAAAACCCACACCTGAGGACAAAGAGCAAGTTAGGCTTGTCAGAGCTGCAGTGTTTAAGCTCTGCGTAATTTCTAGACATGACTGTTTAGAAAGGGGAAAGGGTAACCTATTACTTCAAAGCCTTTGGCCATTTTAAAAACCCAGTCTTTAGCTGTATGTGGTATTCAGGGACTACTCATCCCATTAGATGAAGAATTTCAGAAACAACTATGCCATAGCACCTCTGTCAAAACCAGGGCTTGTATAAGTGCTGTTAAGTGCCTTGCTTTGTGGGAGGATCCTGTACATTCATGATCAATCAGTTCTTCCTGTCCCCGTGAAGGGTAATACTTAATCCTGCTTCACAGATGCAGGCACTGAAAATTAAAGCCTAGAGCCTCGAATCCAAGTTAGAAGCTCAGATAAGGGACTGTGCAATGCAGTGTAGCGAGTTAAGCTCCTGCCTGCAATGCCAGCAATCCTCATCAGTACTAAAGTCTTGCTTGCACTACTTCTAATCCAGCTTGCTGCTCATGGGCCCGAGAAAGCCAAAGATGGCCCAAGTTTCGGGGTGCCTTGCCATCCACATGGGAGACCTGAATGGAGTTCTAGGCTTCTGGCTTTGGGCTGACTCAGTTGCTGCAGCCACTTGGTGAGAGAACCAGCAGATGAAAGACCTCTTTCTCTGTCACTGTGCCTTACAAATTTTTAAAAAGAAAATGGCTCACGTCATTGCTCAGCTGCATCACCCATGAATGGTACATCAGGTTATCTCCCAAGGCACCTGAGCAGCTCACAAGTCAAAAAGCAGAGGAAACAAAAGAAGTGGACTTTGCCTTCAAAGCTGTAGGAAAGAGGATTTTTCAATTGGGAGATTCTTGAGACTTAAAAAGCATTAGTATTTGTTGTCCAAATATGCCTTATCTACGGTCTAGGTGGTAGATTTAAAGGAGTATTTATCCAGTTGTGCACATTTACAGGAGGCCTAAAGTCACAGCAGTAAGACTCACAGTCAGGTTTTTTGACACAATCACAGCTTCCCTGTAAAGCTGGGCAAAGGCCACGTGTCCTACAAGCACGTGGAGAACAAA